TATATTTGCTACATTATTTTTTTGAAAACTAGTCGCCCAAAAGAATTAAAAAAAGAAAAATGTATAAATGAATTTAATTACTTCAGCTAGTGTCTATTTAATATTTCGAATTAGACACCACATGATTAAGAGATTAAAAAGTAAAAAAAAAGTACTTTGAATTGAGTTAATTGCTTCTCAGTCAATTGGTTCACTACTCAGTAACAGAAAGATAAAGATTTCAAATTAAATATCTTACAATTTGCTAAATGGTAACTCGCTGATGCGAGAAGATAATAAGTATTCTATTTGAAGCAATAGCAGCACTTTGATTTTAAATAGCCGAATCTGTGGATTAAAATTGAAATATAAAAATTTTACGTTTTACCGTATGGCAACAGTATGGCACGGGTAGAGATAAAAATGCTTTATTTCGAACAGTGTTGCCTCTTTTCGCTTTGAAATCGCGGTGTTTGTTTAAAAAAAAATTCATTAAATTTACACAGAATACCAAATAAATCAAAAACAAATTCGAAATTAAAAATTCGGACTTAGAAGTGTTTCTGTTCGGGCGGAGGGCTGCGTGCATTTAAAATTCGTTGGCTCTAGGTGTCATTGTTTTTCCATAATGCGAGGAGCTTATATATACATGATGCAGATGTGAGGTCCTATTTAGTTTTACTAATAGTTATTTTTAATTTGCGAGTCTTTTTTTGAATTCTCTTATTTTCGTTCGCATTTCCTCGACGGAATGTAAGTGAAGAAAGTAAACGAGATTAAACTGTTGAAACGTTTCATGTATGATTTCACCAAAGTCACTTACATGTATACAAAATTCGTAACAGTATTTAACCCTTGAAAAGTTCTAATGCAAGTTTGAAGCATTGCGCAAAGGATAATTAATAGCTTTTATTTGTTTATTCTCTTGTATTTTTTGACTGTTTAATTATTTTTCCCGTTTCCCTTTTAAGAATCAAATTTGCTAAATATTTTCCTATGCAAGCTTTTCCTAGGAATCTTTAATTTATTTATCTATAAACGCTATTTAGTCTTCATGGTATGCTTTAAAAAATCTCTCTTGAAACACTTCATATCAAATAAAAATTAATCAGAAAAATAACTCTGTAAAAAAAGCACCTCGGGAAAAACGGGATTTGTAATTTAAATCACAGCTTTAGTTTTTTTTTTTTTTCATGAAAATTGTTGCCACCAAATGTTATCACTAGTAATTATTCAAAAAATTAAATAGTGAAGAATCTGTATAAATGTGCATTTCTGACACTATGGGAAAATGATGGTATCTAAATAAGCCAACGAATTTTTAATACATGTACTTCTCCACCCTCGAAGTCCAAATTTTTAATTTCGAAATTTGTTTTTGTGATTTATTTCATATTTGTACAAATTTAACGAATTATCGCTTAACAAACTCAGGGACTGACTCAGGGACTCAGGACTTTCGAAATAAGGTATTTTTATCTCCAGTATGTCAGACTGTTGCCATTCGACAAAATGTAAGATAAATCTAATAATAAGATAATAATAAGATCTTTCAATATTAATCCACAAATTCGGCTATCTGAAAGCAATGTCAGATTACTTATCTCCACACATCAACGAGCTGTCGTTTGGATATGCTGCATTTAAGTAATTTCTGATATTTTTCTTGCCTTTTATTTAGAGCAAGTGGGAAGAAGGCGATGCTTAATAATAAAGCAAAAAATACAAAAAAAAAAAAAAAGTGTGTTATCAAGGGGTGAGTCAAAAAGCAAATCGGTAACCTGCGACGCTCAATAAGAGAAAAAAAAAAAAACAACTTTAACAAATCCTTTGGTGCGACGTAAAACTATGGATCCTCTCAAATTTTCTTTTTCTTTGTTTTTGTTAAGAAATTGAGTGTGTCGAAAGATTCTCCAGAGCATTTTCTTTTTCCTGTGCCATACGGTTATGAACCACTTTCTCTCTGTTTACATTTGAAAGAGATGACCTAAATTCTAACAAATTAAAATCTGCAATTTTGAGGATTTACCAGGAGACAGGAAGTTGAGATGAAAATTCGAGACCATTCCGGTTTTTTCAGGAACGTTGACATAACTTTGCAGTTCATGAATTTCAATTTTATACGATCCTGAAATTGACATTTCCACTTCGGGTCATAATAATATATATTGTATAAGTTTGAAAATTTCTTGCAGAATTATTTTGCATCTGGCCTTTTTTTTTTTTTTTTTTTTTTTGTCTGAAAAATCCTTCAATAAGGTAAGGAATAAATTATTATTGGGAGTTGTTTTCATTCCCTATGTAATTAAAATAGTAATTAAAATTCCCATATAGCAATCAAAATTTTATATAAATTAACTAATAAATAGCAAGGAGCCACAACTATCATATCTTCATATCTTACCTTATTTGATGAAGTTTTTGAATTGAAGCTGTTTCTCTAAGACTAGCAATTCAGGAGACACCTCTTTGTAAGTGGAATTAAAACATGCATTTGAAGCAGTCACTGAAAATATTTCTATTAGTTTCGCAAATGATGATATTACGCAGGATTATCTTGTGAGCTATTTTTTCTGATTTTTGCTAACAGTAAATTTAAACGCCGTTCTATATTAAAGTAAATGTAACACGACGAATAACAATTATTAAAAGATAAAAAAATAGTAATCAGCGTTGCGTTTTATGAATCTGCAGTACTAATTTGGAAGATCTTGCTACGGAACCTTCTTTTTCAGCTGCAAGAAAAAACATGACGAAAGACAAGGCTATTCGACAACTCTTGCTGCTGTAAAAGAGGTTCCTTTAGTAAGACCTTCAAAACTAATTCATAAAAAGTAACACTGATTACTATTCTTTGAATTTCTAATAGTTTCTTAGATTCACGCCATATATATTCTCTCAGACCAGATGCTATAGAAAACGTGAAGCAAGAGCGAAAAGCTTCAAGATCAGCAGATCTTATTTGTGTACAAAATTATTTAGCGCACAAAATATTTAGTGTAGTAAAGGATCTATCTGCTTAGCTGTTGGAGATGGCTCGCACCAAAGACAGCCAGCTTATTGCGTTAAGGAAAGTAACGGAAGTCGCATTGAGACTCTTTGCCTTCTTAAGTGAGCCCTTTGCATAACTTGGTTAGATAAACCATGTCTTTCGTTTTACAGAATTTGATTATTTTTCTTTGATTATATTGCACTTTAGATTTGGAAGAATAGAGGCTCTTTAAGTTTATTGTTTTACGCATAAAACCACAAGTAATGGGCAGATAAAAGTCTATATAATTTACAGAGAAGTACTGTGCAGAGACATTAGGCCATTTTAAGTAGGACATTTGAAAAATGTGCAATGTCCTCGCAGGGACTCGAACCTGGGCCTCTCGAATAAACACCGAGTGTGTTACCGTTACACCACGAAGGCATGAAGAAAGGAGGGAGAAAATACATTACATACTCCCCCTTTTAAAGAGCAACTGTGGATTAGGGGACCCAGTCGTGAAATTCTGGCGGTGAACAGTCATCATCCTCAATCTTTTAGTTCGGGTGCCACTGTAAAGTCATTTAGAATATTTTCGATGTCAGGAAACTGAAGAAATGTACAATGCCCTCACCAGGACTCGAATCTGGATCTCTCGAATGCGCGTCGAGTGCGTTACCTTTACACCACAAAGACATGCAGAAAGGAGGGAGAAAATGAACCGTTAAAATGTTCAATCTGAAGTTATAATGTTTATAAATGCATGTATGTAAGCGTTCAGATCTGCATAGGGTAGCTTCACGCACATTTGGAAAAGAAAAACACGCAGTTCGTTGTAAAACATTACGATCATATTTCTCAATTCTTCGAATAATCGGAATTATATTATATGTTGATGCTAGGGTAAATATAATTGAATGGACAAGATAGATCAGTATTTCTCTAATCAAGATGGATTAGATTACCAAATTTCTCTTTCCCTTCCTCAACGTAGTAATTTCCATAAAAATTCTAGTAATTGACACAATTTGCAATGCATAGCTTTGAGTTTGTCACACAGCTTGTAGATAGAAGGACTGGAGAATGCAATATAAAAACAAAATAGTGTTTTACATATTTTTTTAGCATATTATGCTAAGCGAATACAAAAATCCAAAACGTGAAAGGAAATTTTATTCTAGAAAAGGAAAAGGAATCCTTTAGTTCCAGTTGTCATAACCTGTGGACATTTTAAAAAGATGAAACGCAGATATTATTTTTGTCTGGAGGCTCTGGGGAAGTAAAAGAACTTTGCAGTATAAAATTGAGATTTCCCAATAGAAAATACTCTTTGTTGTGTTTTCCTTCAACTGAAGTTGTTGACGAAAAAAGCGTTTCTTCGGAGACACCATTAGGAAAACGAATGCGCATCTAGTAAGATTAAAAAACATTTTCTTATTCGGAAAATAAAATAAAGTTTCTTTTCAAAATTTACGCGTGTTTTTAACTGACATCTCAGTCACAGACAGACAAAAGTACGTGTAGCTTTTTGGAATTCTAAACCATACTACTTATCAAAATATAGTTCTTGGTGACCGAGTGGGCAACATTTGTAGTTAGTAACATTTTCCGTCATATACTGTAAATAATCTTATAAGGTATTTCACCCACTTTCCTAGCGTGCTTCGTGGTGTAGTGGTTCTGCACGCTGGGCCGTTATTCTAGAGGGCCGTGGTTCGATTTCCGGCGAAGGCGGTTGCTAATTTTTCATCTATCTTGCTTCCAAAAAATACCTAATATCTCTACAGTGGCGCCCGAACTAAAAAGGTGATAGATGATGACACTCCATACCCAGGATTTGGTGATTGGATCCCATAAAGTCCTCAGTCGCCTTTAGAAAGGGGAGTATATAAGGTATTTCTCCCACTTTCCTAGCGTGTCTTCGTGGTTTAGTGGTTCTGCACGCTGGGCCGGTATTCCAGAGGTCCGTGGTTCGATTCCCGGCGGATGAAGTTGCTAATTTTTCATCTCTCTTGCTTCCAAAAAGTATCTAATATCTCTGCAATCTTACCATGTAAATGTTTTCGTGTCGTGAAAGAATCCTAACACTTAAACTTTCAGCACTGCCGATGATTTCTCCATTTCCTGTATTATTGCGATGATTTGCATTTGCCTTTAATTTCTTAGGTGTATATGCATTATCTGGAGAGGACACTATAAAAATTTTAGAAACTGTATTCAATGCTATTATTAATACTTCATTTTGGTAAGCTTACAACTAACAAATACATAACACTTAAATTAGTACTGCCCTTATTATATTTATTTTGGCAGCAAAATGTAATGCGTCCGCAAAAGCATGATTAATATTGTAATTTTACGAAAATATTCGTATTCATTTGAATATTGTGATGTGTTGATTTTTATCTACTTTTAAAATATTTTGAAACTCTATTCTTATTTATTTTTAGCCCAAAGGGCATTAGCCCAGAAGGGCTATTAATTTCATTTTGGTATTTTGCGCTCATAAACGGCGAATCACTTTTTAAATCGTGCCACCAAATATTAGAACCCAATACTAGATTTAAAGAAATTAAATAATGGAGAATCTGCATAAATGTATGTGTGTTTCTCTCGCTGTGATAAAATAACGGTTTTGTTTTATTATATATTTCAGATTATGTGAAGCATTTATGAATTTTTTATTAACAAACTCAACGATTTCAAAGCCAGCCATGGCAACACTGTACGAAAAAAAAAACATTTTTATCTCCAGAGCGTGAGACTTTGTATCGAAAATTCTAAAGACATGTTCCTTTTAAAATGATTTTGTGATAGTGCTCTTGAAATATGACGTTTATATGGTTTAAGTGCGAAGAACAATGTATTTAAGAAATAAAGGTAACACACAAAACGTTAAAAAAAAGCCCCTTTGGGTGTAATATAAAGTTTGAAAACTTTCAGATTTTTTTAATTATTTATTATCTATATTTAGAGTTTTATTATTATAATATTGCCTATATTTCATACACTTTAATTTGGAAGTAATTTGGAATAACCATAAATTTACATTGATTTCAATATATTATTATAATATTGCAGTTTCTGCAAATACTCGGGAAAATATATTATTTCGTTATTGAAACTTTCTTGCGTCTAGAAGTAAATACATAAACACTAGTCCAAGATATTTTAACTTGAATATTTAATGAAGATTATCAACGATTTTTACACACCATGAAAATGGACGACAGCAGCATGAATATTTACAGGAAATTTGTCATAGTAAAGAAAAATAAGTTCTTTCATCTTTATAACGTTGTACAACTTCTGTTAATGCGTCTTACACATCTTTCGTTATCATGGCGGCCTCGTCTGTGGTTTTTCAAAATAGTCCCGTCGAACGGCGTGCAACTCCTTCTTTCAGTCGTGAAAGATGACATTCCACATTATATTATTATTTCATTCAGATTACACCAATTAGTTTGTACGTAGACTATTCTGCTTGAATTGTTGCTTGCCATATCTGTTCAGTCAAATTCTTTCTAAAATCTATAAAACAAAACACGAACACCCTTGTTTGGCCATGTAGCCTTTTTCGTGTCCCAATAAACTCTCATTGCAGCCTCTTGGGACACCAGGGAGCCAGTAGATAGGGGAGGGTATGGGATATACGCCTGTTTACCTATGTTAGACACCAGGCGTCCCCGTCCTCTGTAACTTGTAACCTGCTTGAACTGTTGTACACATTTCAAGATTTGTGTATATTTATTTTTGGAAATCAATTGTTGATTTCCAATTGTTGAATATATATATGCAGATGGCTAACTGATCAACGTATATCTTGTATTTGCATAGAATTCTTAATTCTATGTCAATACAAGTTGAGATTGTTAAACAGTTGAAGCAGAAATGGATACACATTGTACTTTAGCCCAAAAAATTCTGTTTTCAACATGGTGACATATGAAGTTTTTTGGAGAAGGTAGCACCATTTTAGATGTTCCTAAAAAGTGCCTTCTTGAAACGCTATGAACGATTCTCTAAGAATACTAGTGCCCGTTCCTTCGCCTCTCTTTTAAGGATGATCATAAATAATGGGCCTGGGATTCTTATCATGTTTGTGCTGAAAGTGAAAGACCGCATCAAAATTGCTGTCATCAATGACCCTGGATATGTTACTTTCATCATCGCTCAGAGCAATGCAGCCCGGACATATTTGTCAAAGGTTGTATTCAAAAGAGTATTGATCGATGGCATTTTTATAACTACTATTTGACACAGAGAATAACAAGTGAGCTTACCGTAAGATTTTATTGAAACACTATCAGTGTTGGCTGTTGTGTGAAATATCTTTAGATTTTGTGGTCTAAGAAGATATGGTAACAGAGATACATTATGAAACTAAAAGGTGTCCCTATGTATATTTTATTGACGAAATTCAAAATATAGTTAAAAGAGTATAATTATTTGCAATACCATATTTCATTATTGATTCAGAAATATTTGAATAATACTATTTCAGTCAACTGAAATTGTTGTTGAACAGAGTCATCTATAAATACGCACCTGTCAGCGTTGTTCCGTAGTGAGAGCTTAAATATTTTTTATTTTTGAAAAAAATCTTTCATAGAATTGCTAAGGGTGTACTAATGCATGTACACGGCTAAATTTTGACACAAATCCACATTTAATCAAGAACATCACTTAGCAATCATTTATCAAATTTCCTTAGATTCTTTTAGTATTTGACGTGGCATCGTATTGCGTATAAATAATTTCTACCCTTAAGTTTAGAAGCTCCTCAAGGACATAACTAAATGAGGCCCATCAGCAGCCGAGAAGTAATGTACTGAAGTCTGGTAGTTTAGTCCAAGGTTCGAATCCTGGCGAACGAGCTGGCAGCATGGGTGTTTTGTGGTTTTACCATGTGTAAGGTGTATACAAGCCAGCTTCCCTTAGAACGTCCTCCACGAAGGCATCCCTCCTCTTAGGTAGTTAGCCCTCCTGAGCTTTGGCATAATAAAATAACCAAATCAAACATAATTAAATGGATTTTGAAATATAGAAATTTGTTTAACACTTGCACCCAAATGCTGTTGAAGGCGTAGTTTTCTATAAAATAAATTTGGTGATAATTTATACTTTAATGGCCTCTTATAATGCACGACATTGCAAAAACCGGTGAAGTAATTTGATGTTGAAATGACCACAGTGTATGTTTTGCATGAAAGTATTTTATAATTTATTTCAGAGGCACACATATGCTGATTTAGTTACGATGCTTCATACAGCTAGTAAACACATGAAGTATTTTTTGAAAGCAGGAGAGATGAAAAATGAGTAATGCCCCCCCAGGACTCGAATCACGGACCTCTCGAATACGCGCCGAATGTGCCGACCATCACGAAGGCATGCTCAGAAGGCGGGAGAAATACCTTATAGGATAAATATGAAATTTTATAAAACTCAGTATTTAAAAAATATAAATAACTAAATATAAATAACTAAATATATAAAATTTTATAAAACTAATATAAGTAACTAAATAAACTATAACTAAAGTCTGAAAGCTTCTAGGTTTTATACTGCAACCAAAGGGGCGTTTTATTCATTTACACACGTTTCGAGAGCATTTGGGATAATGCCCCTTTGGACTAAAAATATTTAAAAACAGCGTATCTTTAGAATTTCCGATAGACAGTCTCGCGCGTTGGAGATAAAAATGTTTTATTCAAGTTTAATGCTGTATCAACAGATTTTTAATTTATTGGTTTTATTGGTTTTAGCAATGTAAGTACCATTTAATGCTTACTGCACTTGCAGTTTTTTTTTCTATAATTACAGTTTTATAATCCTAATATAGAAAGATTTATATACTATGCTTTAAACAAATGGTATGCTAAATTACTCTTAAATGAGTCGCAAATCCGTAGTTATTATTTGAGAAATAAATCCAATAAACTGGATTGTAAAACTTTTTTTCCACGTGACACGTTTTAGTATGTTCATTAGAAATTTAAATTTTTATACGGGGAAAGAAAGTTGCAATTAATAAGTCATATCTCGCTACTATTTTTTTAATACCTTCCTCTTAATGTGCAAAATTAATTCAAAAGTAATTTTAAAATGATATTTCTCAAAGCGAAGAGATAAACCAATAATCAATAAATTAAGTGAAATTAATGGCGTATAGTTGACAGTCCATGAGTTGGATCTGAAAATTACTATTATTTACGAATTCGACAAGGAGCAAAAATATATGGCAAACCATATTTTGCCGCGTTATACACCCCCAGGTAGAATGCAAATTTAAGTATACCTTGCAATTAAAAAAAATTCTGGTGACTTTTTAATTTTATTTTTCTCTCATTATTGACTTTTAAGACGATAATAATTTCATTCTTCATCATTAGTTCTCGTACTAATCACTGCGAAACAACAAACAAGCAAACGAAATTTTCAAAACCAATATCGGGTGTTATCGCTGAGGGTTAAATTAAATAAATAAAATAAAAATATAAATTTGGTTTCCTCTTGCCGTACCGCGAATAGCTAACATGCCAGCTTTTCCCTTCAAAAACGACACTTCATAAGTCATCTAAAGACATTAACAATCCTCAACTTTTTTTTTGTTATTTTTTTATTTCTGTCGCAAAAAGTTGCCACAAAAAATTCGTGTAATATATGCGCATCGGATGAAAAATTTCGTTTGCCCGCTGACGATGCTTAATTAGGTCTAACGACAATAAGATGGCGCTGTGGGCAGAACATTAAGGCTCACCTGGATGCTACTTTAATAACGCCAACTTCTCTCGTCCTGTGTTGCTATATTTGGCATCTTTTCGCTAGTTGGTGAAATATTTCGTATTTAAAAAAGTCGATACAGATCTGGATAATTCTTTTTTAAAACTAAAATAATCAGCGAGGTGCAAGTAAGCTTGATTACAAGTTCTGGGTACTTTCGAACTCGTTAGTCATGCTTTGCTGCTCTAATGATGAAATTTTTTTCCCCACTCAGAATAGCATTTACGTTGAGGGATTATTAAATAGTTAGGAAACTTGTTAAGTTTTCCATCATTCATCAACATGGTTGCTAAAAGAACTTTTCTACAGCGAGTTTAGAAAAATGTAAAACAACGTTGACTGACATTTTAATTTGCCGATAGTTTTTGGATACTTTTTATGTATTTTGTTTAAAGGGAAATAGAGTT